AGCGTCGTGTCTCAGGGCAGTGCCCACCTCGATCTGGCCGATCCGACTCGGCATTGTCGGACGGGGCTAGAACGAGGATGCATCCTTTCCGGAGCGTTTTGGGACGCTCTCGGAGCGCTCCAGAATGCTTCGAGAAGACCGCGGCGGCCGATACATCCCTCAGAGCCGGCGCACCTCAGAGATTGTGGATTTATCCTCACCCGATTCTGCCCTCGCCCTGGCTTCGTCGTACAGTGGGGGATGATGCATTGACCCCCAAGCGTTCACACGTCACCGAAGGGGGCCCGAGCCCACCTCGGCCAGGACTGCGTGGCTTCTCTATCGGAGGCCTGCCGCCGAGCGTTCGGCGATGCATCGCCGATTCCACTTCGATTTCTTTCCCCCTCCCCTGAGCCGGTGCCCCGATCGTGCCCGCTAAGAATTGGGGGGTGGGCCCACTGTTCGAAGCAGAGAGAGCGGCGTAAACAGTCGTGTCCTCGTTTGGAGGCCTAGGAATGGGCACCAGCACCAACCCAGGGAGTTGCCTCCACGCGGGGGAGATGATACTAGATTCCGGTGTTGGTGGTAATGTTTCGGCCACCCAGGAAGCCAGAATATCACCACCGTCACCAAGCACGGGCCAAGGTGCTGAGAGCTCAGCCACCGCGCAGGTGGGGGTGGGGGGGAGGGGGGAGGGCTTCTTAGAAGCACCCCTGCTTCTCAGAAGGCGCGGGCCGCATCTGCTAGATAGAAGGCCTGCGACTCGTCCTGGCTTCCTCCTCCTCCTCCTGCTCCTCCTCCTCCTCCTGCTCCTGCTGCTCCTCCTGCTCCTCCTCCTCCTCCTCCTCCTCCTCCTTCTCCTCTTCGTACGTCGGCTTCGGCCGGCTCGATGCGATCCGGTCCCGAGGTTTTCGGACGGCCTGGGGGCGGCTCGGCTCGCGGGGCGCGCCTCGATTGGGGAAGGGGCAGAGGGGGCGGGCCCTTCCCTCGGGAGGGAGACGACACACACAGGCACAAGCAACCGTCGATCCCCAGGAACATCTGCGACAATACGGGAAGCGGGCGGGAAGACGGACATCCCGAGCAGAAACCGAGGAGCATCGGGAATCCTGGGACTTGTGTGTAGTGTAGTCATTTGTGTGTCTCCCCGGGCCCTTTTATTCTCGGAAGGCTCCGAAGGCCCCCGGCTTTCCGAGAAGCTTTCCGAGCCTTCTCCTTCTCGTAGGCTGGAGGGCTCCCGAGGAGCCCCGCCTCTGCGAAGGGCCTGTCCCCTCTCGCTCCCCCCCCCTCGTCGCGCCGCGGATCGACGATTGCATGGCGCTGTTGTGCTAAATCGGGACTGTCCCTCTACAGGAGGGATATTCAAACATAGTCAAAACAATTATTTTCGAGCATTCGTTTGACCATTTTTTTCGCATTTTCGCCCAAAATCCCCCTGTAGGGGGACAGGTCCGACCTAACTGTTGTGCTTCGGCGCAGCCGGTCCGATCCGATGCCGGCTTCGTGCCGATGTCGCCTGATTCGACGCGCATTCCGATTCGATCTGATGTCCCCATCCGATGCTGCCTGATTCTGCGATGTTTTTGCAGGCGATTGCTCTCGCCTGCCTCCGCAATCCCCGAGCCCCCCCCCCCCCCTGGAGACAGGCGGGCAGCCGTGGATGTGCCCCGAGTAGGAGGGGGAGGGAGGAGGGAGACATGAGGAGGTGGAGGAGGAGCAGGAGGGAGGGAGGGAGGAGGGGAGGGCGTGAGGGAGGAGGGAGGAGAAGGATCATGAGGAGGTGGAGGAGGAGGAGGAGGCGGAGCAGGAGGCGGAGCAGGAGGGGGAGGAGGAGGAAGAGGAGGAGGAGGAGGAGGAGGAGGAGGAGGGGAATGAGGAGGATGAGAAGGAGTAGGATGTGGAGGATTGAGAGAGGGAGGGAGGGAAGAGTATGAGGATGGAGTCAGACAAGGGATGATGATGATACTGATGATGATGCTGATGATGATGATGATGCTGATGCTGATGATGATGCTGAACATGATGAGGATGATGAAGATGATGATGATGATGATGATGATGATGATGATGATGATGATGATGATGATTATGATACTGATGATGATGATTATGATGATGATGATGATACTGATGAAGGTGATGATTGCTGATTGTGATGATGACCATGCTCATGATCATGATCATGATGCTAATGATGATGGTGCTTACACTTTTGATTATGATGATGGTGAATGATGCTGGTAATGCTGATGATGCTGCTGAGGATGATGCTGATGCTGATGGCGATGGTAATGGTGATGATGATGATGATGATGCTGACTGTGATGATGCTGATGATGGTGAGGAATATGATGATCATGATCATGTTCATGATAGTAATGACGATGGTGCTGAGAATTATGACTATGATGATGGTGATGCTGATGCTGATAATGCTGATGATGATAATGATGAAGATGTGGAGGATGATGCTGATGATGATAATGGTGATCGGTAACGATGATAATGCTGATGATATGTTGATGTTGATGGTGATAGTGATGATGATGCTGCTGATGCTGATGCTGTTGATGATGATGATGATGCTGCTGATAATGATGTTGATAATGGCGATGCAAATGATGATGCTGGTGATGACGATGCTGGTAATGATGCTGCTGCTGTTGATGATGACGATGATGATGATTACGATAATTCAGGATCCTGATGCTGACGATGATGATGCTGATGATGATGAGTATGCAGATGATGCTCATGACAATGATCATCGTATGAGACTGGCGATGGTGGTGGTGGCGATGAGAATGAGGATGAGGATGAGGATGATGATGGCGCGCAGAATGACGATGATGATGATGATGATGATGATGATGATGATGATGATGATGATGGTTGTGGTGGTGGTGATGTTGGGTATGATGCTGATGAGGATGTCGACGACGACGATGATGGTAATGATGCTGTTGCTGATGATGATGTTGCTGATGCTGATGATGATGATGCTGATGTTGATGTTGATGATGTTGATGCTTATGGTAATGATGCTGATTTTTGATGATGAGGACGATGCTCATGATGATGATGTTGATGATGATGATGACGATGCTGATCATGATGAAGACTGATGATGATGAGGATGATGATGATGATGATCATGATGAACGTGGTGGTTTCACCGATGAGAATGCTGATGAGGACGATGATCATGATTACGATGATGACGATACTTTTGCTGCTGATGCTGATGATGATGCTGATGATGATGGTGACGATGCTGATGCTGCTGCTGCTGCTGATGATGATGATGATGATGATGATGATGGGAACGATGATGCTCTTGCTGCTGATGATAATGAGGGTGATGATGATGCTGTTGTTGCTGCTGATGATGACCGTGGTTGTGGTGGTGGTCCTGGTGATGAACATGCGGATGCGGATGAAGATGATGATTACGAAGAGGATGACGATTCATATGCTGATGATGCTGATGATGCTGATGACGATGATTATGCTGATGATGATGATGATGATGATGATGATCATGATGATGAAACTGATGTTGATGCTGCTGCCGATGATCATGATGATGACAGCGATGGTAGCGATCATGATCATGATGATGATGCTGATCATGATGATGATAATCCCGATGATGATGCTGATGATGATAATGATGATGCTGCGGATGCTGATGATGATCACGATGCCGATGATGATGATGATGATGATGATGTTGTTGTTGATGAATATTGATGATGGTGCTGTTGTTGATGAGGATGATGATGCTGATGGTGATGCTGATAATGATGATCATGATGATGACGACGATGATGATGATGATGATGATGCTGCTGATGATGATGATGATGATGATGATGATGCTGCTGATTTTGCTGATGGTGTAGTGGTGGTGATGCGGCTGCTGTTGCGGGTGCTGCTGCTAATGATGATGTTGTTGATGATGAAGAGGATGATGATGATGATGATGATGATGAGGATGATGATGATGATGATGATGATGATGATGATTCTGCTGGTGGTGTTGGTGGTGGTGGTGTGGTGGTGGTGATGACGATGACGATGACGATGACGATGACGATGACGATGATGATGACGATGATGATGATGATGCTGATGATGATGATGATGATGATGATGATGATGATGATGATGATGATGATGATGATGATGATGATGATGATGATGATGAGGACGAGAAGGAGGATGAGGAGGAGTAGGAGGGAGGAGGAGGAGGAGGAGGAGGAGGAGGAGGAGGAGGGCGAGGAGGAGGAGGCGGAGGAGGGGTTGACGAGGCGGACGAGGGGGATGAGGAGGAGGGGGAGGAGGAGGGAGGGAGGGCATGGAGGGGCCGGCAGGGCGCCTACGACCCCTCGAAGCACGGCTGGTACCACCCCAGGGGCCAGGAGGAGGAGCGCCGGCTCGCGGATCAGAAGGAGCCACCGCCGCCGTGGTTGTGGTGGTGGTGGTGGTGGTGGTGTTGGTGGTGGTGGTGGTGGTGGTCGTCGTCGTCGTCGTCGTCGTCGTCAACGTCGTTGTTAACGTCGTCGTCAACGTCGTTGTCGATGTGGGGGGAGGCGGGTTGTGGGGAGAGGGGCTGTGAGGGCCATCTCCTCCTCCTCCTCCTCCCTTCGCCTCCTCCTCCTCCTCCTCCTCCTCCTCTTCTCTCGCGGGGCCACTCTGCTTCTCGGCCCACAGACGGCCAGGCGGCATTACTAATTATTTGATTTGTTGTCGGCTCCATCATATGTTGCGAGGCTGCCATCCCAAGTTGGGCGCCTTCCTTGACCCGCCAGTGCTGCTGCGCGCAAGGAAGGATGTCATGTCGGCTCTATTTCCGCCGCTTCCTCATGTCGGCTTAGTTTCCGCCGCTGCCTCCTCTCGCCTCTATAGGATGGTGGTGGTGGTGGTGGTGGTGGTGGTGGTGGTGGGGGGTTGACTGGGCAAGAGCACACGCAGCTTCTTGACGCCCAGGCCGACTCGGGCTTCTGGGAAGAGCTCGCTGGCTTTTCTGAAGCCATCGGCTCGAGTGATTCCGTTTGAGTCCCCGATGCAAGCATTTTTACCTTGTAAGTTGGCCATCGTTCTTGCGTTTGGTCTCTGTCAGATCAAAAACTCCTGGGGCATCTTGGCGACTAAAGGTCCTTTGCTTGGCCACTTGGACAATTCTTTACGCTTCGCGTATCCCCACCAGCCCATCTCACAGCAGCAGCTCTCGCGAAGCATGTCGACAGTTGTGTTTTTCAGGCGTGTGTCCGCTGGGCTCCGTATATCTCCCCTGTCCCTCCTTCCTCCCGCCTCCTTGTGAATCCTCCTTGTGGGGGGAGCGGGAGAAGGACGAGGCGGAGGAGGAGGGAGAGAAAGCGCTCCTCGTGATTTGAGTCGTTTGGGGTTTCTCGTCCTGGTGTGAGTCGTTCGGGCCCTTCTTCCTGGTGTGAGTCGTTCGGGCTCTTCGTGGTGTGAGTCGTTCGGGCTCTTCGTCCTGGTGTGAGTCGTTCGGGCTTCTCGTGGTGTGAGTTGTTCGGGCCCCTCATCCTGGTGTGAGTCGTTCGGGCCCCTCCTCCTGGTGTGACTCGTTCGGGCTCCTCGTGGTGTGAGTCGTTCGGGGCCGCGTCGTGGTGTGAGTCGTTCGGGCTCCTCGTGGTGTGAGTCGTTCGGGCGCCTCGTCCTGGTGTGAGTCGTTCGGGCCCCTCCTTGTGGTGTGAGTCGTTCGGGCTCTTCGTGGTGTGAGTCGTTCGGGCCCCTCGTCCTGGTGTGAGTCGTTCGGGCTCCTCGTGGGGCCTCTTGGGGGCCTCTTGGAGCCTCTTGGGGGCCTCTTGGGGGCCTCTTGGGGGCCTCTTGGGGGCCTCGTGGGGCCCTTGGGGGCCTCTTGGGGGCCTCTTGGGGGCCTCGTGGGGCCTCTTGGGTGCCTCTTGGGGGCCTCTTGGAGGCCTCTTGGGAGCCTACTGGGGGCCTCTTGGGGCCATCTTGGGGGCCTCTTGGGGGCCTCTTGGGGGCCTCTTGGAGGCCTCTTGGGGCCTCTTGGGGGCCTCTTGGGGGCCTCTTGGGGGCCTGTTGGGAGCCTCTTGGGGGCTCTGGGGGCCTCGTGGGGGCCTCTTGGGGGCCTGTTGGGAGCCTCTGGGGGCCTCTTGGAGGCCTCTTGGTGGCCTCTTGGGGCCTCCTGGAGGCCTCTTGGGGGCATCTTGGGGCCTCTTGGGGGCCTCGTGCGACCTCCTCAGAAGCGCAAATGAGCGCTACCCCCTGAGAAGGACAAAATGAGCCCAAAGCCCTTGTAAAATCAATGATTTTGCTATGAAGGAAGAGCGCGGCCCCCTCGGGAGGCCAAAATGGGGCCAACACCATCGTAAAAGCAATGATTTTGGCTTCACAGAAGAGGAGGGGGCTACAAGAACGCCCCCCCCCCCCCCGTCGGGGCCAGAATCCTCGTGAGGGTCGTCGTTTTTTGGCCTTCCCAGGCGTCGAAAAAGACCACCCTGACCACCCGCGGGACTCCCTGTCCAGGCCAAGGGGGAGGGGGTAGGGGGAGGGGTAAACCCCTCCCCGAAGGGGAAGAAGGGGCGGTGGGGGGTTGAGGACAAAGGGGGCTCTCTAGACCACTCACGCCCAAAGGGCTGGTGGGATTGTGGTGGCGTTTTCGGGCCTCCAGAAGCTGCGTCTGGGCCATGCTGAGTCTGGTAGATCTTGGAGCTATCATGGGGCCTCAGGGAGCCATTTTGAAGCCGTCCTTGGATATCTTAGGAGCAACTCATAGGATAATCAGTCGAATCATTGGACTTTCCGCGATGTTGTGCGTTCTCGATGCTTTTAGGCCCTGCTTGTGATTTCTTTGTGCCCTCTTGGGCTGTGTTGGGCCGCCTTGAGGCCACGTGTTTCCGTCTTGGGCTCAGAGGGCTCTCTTTTTGCCCTCGTGGCGCGCTTCTTGAGACCTCTTTGTCATTCTTCGCTTCGCACAGGCGTCCCTGTGGAGGGTCCTGAGGCAACATGCAGCCCACAGCAGCCAGGGGGCTGAGTGGAAGTTCCCTGCGTTTTTTTTGCCGCCACGGGCAGGGGGTTGACAGTCTGGGAGGACACACCACGGGAAGCACAAGGCTGGGCGAGGCAACGAGTGACGACGCGAGACACCAGCAAAACAGCGGGCTTCAAAGCGCCAGCGGACCTCGGACTCTGGTCACGCCAGGGGGAGCGTTGATAATACCGATATCAATACTATTAGTAAGTAATATTAATACTAATGCTACTGATTGAATTTGTATTTATGTTGGGAGAATGGTTGGCCGTATACTTCGGAAGCGGTTCTCACCCCCCACCGCAGCGAATGTTGCAGAAGGGCCTCAGCTATGGTAAATAATGAGGGTTCCAGTTTCTGGCACGCGGAGAGAAAAAAAAACATGCACTTGCCCTGCCCGCGTGCCGCGCCGTGCCGTGCCCGCGTGCCACGCCTCTGCCGTGCCCGCGCGTGCCGTGCCGTGCTCGGCCTCGCGCGTGCGCGAGGGGGGGGGCGGCCGCTTGCCGCGCCGTGCCCGCGCGCTGTGGCGTGCCCCGCGCGCCGTGCCGTGCTCCGCAGGTGCCGCGGTGGCGTGCTGCGAGCTGGGTTTCTCGCGGGTGCGAGCACGGTGCCGCGCCGTGCCCGCTCGCAGGGCGCGTGCCGCGCTTGTCGCTTGTGCCGTGCAGCGAGGCTGCCCTCGCCGCGGAGTGCTTGCGTGCCGAGCCCGCGCTCCGTCCTCGGCAGGGTGCGGAGTGTTGTGTGTCGAGGGTGCGGGGCAGTGGCTGCACCGTGCCGTGCTCGGTGTCGGGAGTGCGGGCGAGCTGCCGTGCCATGCCGTGCCCGCGTGCTGTGCCGCGCCCACGCGCCGCGCCGTGCCATGCCGCGCCGTGCAGGATCTCCGCGCCGTGCCGTGCCCGCGTGCCGTTCCGTGCCGTGGCGTGCTAGATTTCGGGGACGACGCCGAGACTGCGCAAAGGCTGCCGTGCCGTGCCGTGACCGCGTGCCGTGCCCGCGTGCCGTGCCGTGCTTGATGCCGAGGGTGCGGCAATGTTGCCGCGTGCCCTGCCGTGCCGTGCCGATCCCGCGTGCCGTGCCGTTCCTGCCTGCCGTGCTGTCTTTTGTCTTTGGTTCAGGGAGTGCTAAAGGCGAAGAGGTTGCCATGCTTTGCCGTGCCTTTTCCACGCGCCTTCACCGTGCCGTGCCGTGCTTAGTTTTGAGAGTCCGAACAAGTTTTCGCTGCCGTGCCCTGTCGTGCACGCGAGCCGTGCCGTGTATTTTTTTCGGGAATGCGAGATAAGTTGTTGTGCCGTGCCGTGCCCGCGTGCCGTGCTCGATTTCAAGCTTTCGACACGGTTTCATGCCGTGCCGTGCCTGGTTTTCAGAATGCGAAATAGTTGCCGCGCATTGCCGTGCCGCGCCTGGTTTTCAGAATGTGAAAATGTCGTACCTTGTCGTGCCCGCCATGTTGCCATATGTAATATCAGAGTGAGGGGGTCGAACGGTCATTCTCTGTCCTCGGGCGCGTGGCTGAAGTGAGGTTCCGCAGTGCGGCTTGTTGTTTCGTTGCTTGTTTTGTTCGTCGTTTGTTGTCGTTGTACCACCCCGCGACCCGCCGGCGACCCGCCCGCGATCCGACCCGCGACCCACCCGCGACCCGACCCGCGACTCACCCGCGACCGATCCGCAACCCACCCACATTGTTTTGAACGAGCAAGTCGGCGCCTGTGGCGGGTTCGTTGTATCATTTGTAAAAATTGGGCGCTGCCTGCGGCAGGCTTCTTCAGAGCCTCGCAGACCGTCGACGTCACCGCCGCCCCCTCACTCTCATCCGCAACTGCGGGGTGCTGCGTTATTCAGCCGTGGTATTTAGGGTCTCCATGCCCGCCCAGTGGAGTTGGATCAGGAGATCTCCTCGCCTTCGCTCCTCCTCTACCTTTAGTCCCCTTTCCTTATCCTCCCCCTCCCTCTCCTCCATTGGCGCTCCTCCCTCCTTCTGCGCCATCCTCGTCATCCTTCTACTAGTCGGGGGGAGGGGCTCAAGCAGGCCGCCGACATGTCACATATTACCCTAACTACCCCCATGTGACTTGGCGCCCCCGAACTTGCAGGGCCAGGTGAAGGGGGCGCGCAGCATGATTTCACGTCATGTCATGGGCACAGCTTGTTATAGCCGCCTTGCGGCCTCTACATTGGAACGGTTCACCGATGCAAGTCACGATCCGATCCGTCGGACATCGCAGTGATCCGATGGAGCGGCCTTGAACCTGTGAAGCGTGCGAGTCTCACGCACCCTCTGGTGCGTGTTTCCGGGTACACAGGAGGCAAGCTACCCACCAAGGCTTTTGGCACTGCGGCGCTTGATTATCAGCCACGCCGTTTCCCCCCCCCCCCCCCACACCCTCGCTGATTGACGTACCACCCCCAGCCCATCTACAGAGGGCCGTGTAGCAGGGATCCAATTCCAGACGCACTGCAAGGACACGCCCACGTCCGACGCTGCTCTGCGTTGCTCGGGCTGGTCGGAACGCGCGATCGGTGGCCCAGGTGTGCGCAGGCACGTGATCCCGCCTCGAGCGCGGGGGGGAGGTGGGAAGGAGGAGGCCCTCCCAGAAGGCAGCGGGGCTTCTCAGACGCCCTCGGGCCTTTTGAGAAGTTTGACGTGCTTTCGGGGACGGCCAGGAGAGCCCTTCAGAAGGCCAGGGGGCCTCCGAGCCTTCTGAGAAGGCCCGCCCCCTCTCACTGCCCCCCGCGCGCGCCGCCCATTTTTTCTTGCCATAGCGAGAGTAGGGGAACAACAAGTGACATAAACATAAAAGCTCGGAGGTCCCAAAAGAGAACATCATGACTCCCCAGGGGGGTCAGGGCAGATGTCGGACGGGTGCCGCGGGAATCCGGGAAAATCCGGGGACTCGAGTAACGCACTTCGTGGTCTTCGAGTTCCCAGAACTCCATTCCTGGGCATGATTTTGAATGCCCGGAGCCAACTGTAGGCCACTTCGTGTTTTTCGAGTTCCCAGAACTCCATTCCTGGGCAGAAACGCCACTTCGTGTTCTTCGA